TAAGTTTACGAAAACCTCTTAAATGGTACCATTTGGTATTGTGTGAATGGATAGAGCTAAAGACATAACATTTGGTATAAGATCAAGGTTCGTTATATGAAAATGGTTTTGGAAATGTGTACTAAGAGTGCGAACTGTACTAAATTTGAATGGATTAAGCTGGAATTTTGAAATTGTGTATTGTGGTCCCTGTTTTGATTGGTTTGTGATAAGGAAGATGAATTTGGTATTGGGTGAGCAGATAGTACTAAAAATCTGAAATTTGCTTTTAGGGTTGTTGTTTACATGTAGCCTGGACATATGGATGTGTTTTTGGAAATGTGTACTATAATTGTACGAAAGTACTGTATAGTACTTTATTTGTTATTGGATGAAGGGATAGAGATAAAATTCTGAAACTTGATATTTAGATTACTGATGGTATCTGAAAATGCGTCCTATATTTGTACGAGAGGTACTAAATGGTACAAAATGTGGTATTTAGTAAAGGGATAAGACAGGAACTCCCAAATTTGATATTGAAGTATCTGTTGCTATCAGGAATTGAGATATTGAGGTGGTTTTGGAAATGCAGCTAAAACTGTACGCAAAGTACCAAATAGTACTATATTTGGTATTGGGTAAAGGAGTAGAGCTGAAATCCTAAAACTTGATATGGATGTCCATGTTGGTGCCTGTATTTGAAAAAAGGAGCTGTTGGAGAATTGAGATATGGAGGTGGTTTTAGAAATGTGCAAAAAGTACTAAATACCACTAGATTTGGTATGAAGTAAAATCCTAAAACTTGACATGGATGTCACTGTTGCCTGTGTTTGAAAAAAGAACTAGTTTTGGATATGCGTGATATAATTATAATAAATGTTACTAAATTAGGTAATGGCGGAAATTAAAAGGCTGGAATCCGGAAATTTTATATCAAGGTCACTGTTGCGATCTGAGGTTGATATATGGAGATTGTTTTGAAAATGCGTACTTTAACTGTACGAAAAGAACTAAATATTAATAAATTGGTATATTATATCCCGCTGAAATCCCTACATTTGATATGAATGTCACTGTTGGTATCTGCAGCTAAGAGGTGCTTTGGGAAACTTGTCTATGAAAGTACGAAAAGTGCGAAATGCCACAAATTTTGTGCCGTTGGTTTTTGGAATAGAGATGGAATTCCTAATTTTGGCATCAAGGTCACTGTTGGTATATAGTTTTGAGAGGAGGAGGTGGATTTGGGAATGCGTACAATAATTGTTTGAAAAGTACTAAAGGTACAAAATTTGACGTTTAGTGAGTGGATAGAACTTGAATCCTGATATTTGATATTGGAGACACTGTTGGTTCATTGGTTCCAGTTTTTATTATGAAAAACGTTGAAATAGTTTTGGGCAGAAAATTGGATATAGAACCGAAAGATTTTGAAGACACTTTCTGGTGCAAAAAGAAATCTTTTTTTCGAATAATAAAATGAATAAATTGTTATCGAACTGGAGCAGCTGAAAAGTTCTTACTATGTATGAAGTTTGCTTGGAGATTGTGTTCAAAAAATAATGAACAAATTGTGCGTTTTGAGTACTAAAATGAACTGATGCAGGGAATCTTAAATATTAAGATGAACTTTTCGCTGACGAAGTAGCGGGCCCTTGCTAGGACTAAATAAATCAGAAATAGATTAGTTTGTGAAAACTTCGATGCCTGGATTTAAGACAACCCTTGGGGAGATCAAGCAAATGTAGTAAAAAAAATAAAATAATATCGCCAATTGATTTCGAATATGGACTTTTTCGATATTCTGAAATCAATGCACATCTCTATACTTCTCATCATATTGTATATTTCGTATGAAGATGCAATGTATCACTACAATCTGTCGAGTATCTCTATAATCTACATAAGATCGCAGTCCACAATTATGACCACACTAAGCTTAACCATATCTTTGGGTTCCCTATGGTTCGTTTATCTTGTAAATTGATAAAATATCTAATTTAAATAATTTGTCGAAACTTCGATAGATGGATTGGTTATTTGAATGACTTATGTTTCAAAAAGAAACCTTCAACATCATGTTCTTTCACATTCATTCCTGAGTGTGTGTGTGTGTGTGTGTGTATGCATGCGTGGATGTAAATTGTACACAAACTAATCTTGTGGATTTATATTGGTTTTGTATGGGGCTATCATCATCATTACTTTAAATCCATTGTCCAAATTTCAACAATTAATCTCAATCTGTCATCCATTCCAAGCAAAATCATTCATTCGTTTCAACCGTGAGCTGGACGTGTTAATTGATACACACACCACTACCACCACCATTCTAAGCCAGGCGCTTTTATGTTAATCGTCTTTATTAAATCATTAGTTACCATCGCGCTATGCTCGGTGGCATTGTTTACATCTTCCATCTTCTATTTTCTTTTTGGTGCTCGTTCGTTTGTTTGCTTTGATTTATGTCGTGCCTGCCGGCTACATTTACCCACCTATTTTCTAAATGATCTCGAGGGTGGCGTTCGAACTTCTGTTTTAACAAAATCGAACGGTGTTGACAGCACATTAATTATGCTTTTCAATAATGATTGGAAATCGAATATTTGTAGACAACCGTAAAGTGTGGTCCATGTAGCGATGGCTATTTGATCTTCGACCTGAGAAATTGGTTTGCAACCCAAAGATTGTTTTGTTACCTTTTCAAGTGGATATTAATTTTAATAAAGTTCAATTGATTTTCTTTTTAATCCGCAACTGTTGGGAGGAAGTAAGAAACAAAAATGCAATTGCAGTAGTGTTTGCAAGGTATTTGTAGAAAAAAAAAAAAATAAGAACTAAGACATAAGGCATATGGTGCAAAATAAAACAGAAGTCGGATAAAGATATGTATGGGAGCTATATCCAAACCTTAACCGATCTTGATAAAATTTGGTAGATGTATTTGGAGCTGTATCTGATATCTGGTACCAAAGATCAATGCTGTGGAGTGCATATTACGCATGTGAAGGACTTAAAACCCCAAATCGAAGCTATATCTGAACTAAATTTTAAGTACTTATTTCTAGGATGAATTCAGTCGGATCTGCTAAAATTCAGGTCATTTGGATTGATATTAGCCATTTGGTGCACAATTAACCCGAAATCGGACGAAGATATAAATGGGAGCTATATCTAAATTTTAACCGATTCTCACCAATTTCAATAGAGTTCGTCCTTGGGCCGAACAAATATTGTTCGGAAAATTTCATCTCAATAGTATGGTAAATGCGACCTGCATTTTGTTCACAAAAATACATGGACAGACGCACTGACATGCATCGTGATAGTGTGATTTCTTTATATTTGGGTGGAAAACCACAGGTGGCTATCGTTAGAGCACTCCAGCATTTAAATATGAATAAATATTATAAATCTAGTACCATCGCTCGTTACTGTGATACTGGTAGCGTAGCCCGACATCAAGGAAGTGGACGAAAGAAAACAGCAACATCAGCAGAAATGGTTCGAAAAGTAAAGAAGCGACTTAATCGAAACCTGCGTCGCAGTGGCCGAAAAATGGCTCCTGAGCTGAACATATCGCAATTTTCCATTCGCCGAATATGAGCTCGGGGTAAAGCCATTGAAATTCCAAAAAGTGCAAGAACTTACATCGCAACTGAAAGAAAAGAGACTCAAAAGAGCTAAAGAGTTGCTTCGCTTGGCCGAATGTGGTGAACTGCCGAATTTGGTTTTCTCCGATGAGAAAACATTCGTTGTCCATCAGTTTGTAAACAAACAAAATGATCGTGTTTACTTGCTAAATGTGCACCTTCGCTTGGCCACCAGAACTCAAGCGCCGGCCATGGTGATTGTGTGGGCCGCCATAACATCCGATGGTCGCTCTCCGCTTGTATTAATCGACCGTGGCATCAGAATAAATGCCGTATATTATCGCGAAAATATTCTGAAGGGTGTAGTGTGTCGATCACCTCAAGCAAACGCTTCGCCGGTAATGGGCCAAAATACCGCAGAGCAACATTCGGGCGGCGTGTGACGATTTCATTGGCAGTTTGATGGCCATAGATCGCGACAAAGGTGACCAATTCGAACAAATCTAAACTTATTCTAAAACTTGATGCTATTTCCGACATTTTGTCTCCATCAAATTTAGTGAAAATCGATTCAGAATTAGATATGCCACCCTTATATTAGTTCCCTCTGGAACCAAACTATAGCTGCTCTAAAGCCAAATGTTAATAGGTGGTATGATTTACTTCAAAAAAATTATTTTGTTACGGGAGCTTTACTAGATATGCATAGTGGTGTAGGGTATCATACTGTCGGACCCGCCCGGCTTTTGACTTTTCCTTATTGGTTTTTTATGAAAACTGGCATAAGTAGTTAAAATGGCACAGTCAGAAGGCAATTTAACTTTAAAGGAAAAACACAAAACTTGAGCGCAATGTTGGAGTTTCCACACCCAAGTCGGATGCTCACTACGAATTACATACGTATAATATTTTTTGGACATTTCTGACATGAACAGCCGCAGGGTGGCCGAAGAAGTCTTTGGCATTTACACGTTTTTCAGATGTAATTTGAAACATTTTATTTGAAATTCTAGAATTTCATTTGTCATTCGTAACATTTGAAATTTGAAACAAACAAATTAAAAAAAATGTTTTTATTGGCTTCAATTTGCCTTTTCGAACTAAAATAAAATAATTCGAATTACAAGTGAAATAATTCTAAATTCAAATGGAGTAATTGAAATAAAAATAGAAAATTTTGAATTACAACTGAAATATTTCGTATTTCAAATGGAATTTTGTGAATTACAGATGAAATTGTTAAATTACAATTAAAATGTTTCGAATTACATATGGAATTCCCGAATTTCAATTGAAATTTTACGAATTATAAATGGAATTCTCGGACTACAAATGAATTGTTAGGAATTACAATTAAAATGGCAATATACGACTACGAATGAGGCGCAAATCTATTACCACTCAAAATCATAACCCCGAATATCTTACCTCGACAGGGCCGATTGGAGGTCACCATTTGTGCCTGTGGCCGGGCTAAGTCTTTCTCTTTTCACATGATTGCTGGACAGGTGGATGGATGCTGGCTGGTGGTGGGGGTGCTGTGGGCCAATCGACGATTGAAGGGAATGACTTGGTGTTTCATCACTGGTGTTGGTGTTATTGTTGTTGTTGTTAAGGGAGTTCGCAATTTGATTTTGACTTAGAACGGTACTGTTGGCGCTGTGACTGTTGTTGCAACTATTTGTGTTGCCACTGTTGTTGCTGTTATTATTATTGTTGTTGTTAATCGATGAGCTGTTGTTGTTATTATTCACCATTGCTGCAGCAACTGCGGCAGCGGCTGCCGATGACTCCATAATGGCATCCTTCAGAGAATCTATTTGAGCGGCCGTCACCCTCGGTGACATGCGTTCATTTTTTACCTTTTCCAAGTACAAGTAGGCAGCCGCTGCTGCCGCCGTTGTGGTTGGCGTAACCGTCAACGTCGGTGTAGACGTTGCTTGTGCCGTACTCAAGTTGGGTGTTGTTGCTGGGGTGGTCTTGTTGCTCAGTTCACAACTCTTTTTGACACCGTCAATGGAGTTGTTATTGTAGCCGCTCAAGAGCAGAGAACGTTCGCTAAGCATTTTATTGCCAATCGACTCTCGCTTAAGTAGTTTGTGCTGTCTGGATCCACTGGTTGGGATTTGTTTGGTCTTTGTTTGTGTTGTTCTTTCAGTTCTGCTTTCAGCCAGATCAATTTCTAGTTCATCTCTGAGCGTATCCTTGCCCGCTACGTCCGTGCTTTGCTTTAACAAATTTTTACCAATATCGTCTAAAAAGAAGAGGAAAAAGAAGAAAACGGGAAATAAATATCGTTGAATTTATATTTTACGTGGGCGCAAACGAAATCAATTGGATTGGATTAGCTATATGGATTAATATTTCACATCCGAATTTATGTTGTTTCTTGAATATCATTTATAAACTTTACTAATATGAAGAGTACATACAGTTTGTCATCGAAATTGTCGTTGCGACCCAAGAATATATATACAGGGTGAGATGAAGAAACTGCAACCAACTTCAGACTGCTTTCGTTTCTAAGCCACTCGTCCGACAGCTGTTAAAATTATTCCAGTAACAGCTCATTATATTGTTTACAAGCATACAAAAGCATTTTGGTGAGAATTTTCCAGCATTTAAATGTGAATAAATCTTTTGTGTCTCGTACCATCACTCGTTGCCGTGATACTGGTAGCGTAGCCCGACCTCAAGAAAGTGGACGGTAGAAAACAGTAACAACAGCGGAAGTGGTTCGAAAAGTGACTTGATCGAAACCCACGTCGCAGCGGCCGAAAAATTGCTCGTGAACTGAACATATCGCAATATTCCATTCGGTAAATATTGAAAAATGATCTCGGGGCTATAGCTAAAGAGAAATGCACGCAAACATTTTGGCCGCAGACCTTGGACATTCCAAAAGGACTCAGCACTTCGCACTCAGCACGCGCCACCCAAGAATGGTTACAAAATGAGGTTCCTCGCATCATTTCCAGTGCACACTGGCCACCAAAATGGCCACCGGATACCAATCCGTTGGACTATTGTGTCTGGAGTATTTTGGAAAGCAAGATTGGCACTAAGAAATAACATCGTGACGATCACCTCAAGCAAACGCCTCGCCGGTAATGGGCCAGAATACCGCAGAGCAACATTCGAGCTGTGTGTGACGGTTTCATTGGCCGTTTGAAGGCCATAATTCGTGTCAAATTCGTGCCGACATTTTTTGCTTTCATTCAATAAAATTAAAAAATTATGGCGTTTGACTTTTTTGAATTTTGTTTATTTCACCCTGTATATGTTTTTGATCAGAGCAAAATTCTAAATTGATTTAAACATGACCGTTCGTCTGTTGTACGACCTGTGATCAAGAGCTAGGATTTTGCACAGGGCTGTCATTTGTCTGCAGGCATGTAAAGTACACCATGTCAAATAACTGAATATTTTGAAGATCTAAGCCATATTTTCGACGAAATTGTTTGAATTCGGATACTTGAATTTTCTAATGGTTACATTTTTCAACGGAATTAGCTATTATTTTGTACACTCTGTACAAAAGAATTGAAATCGTTCCATGCTTTGCTACAGCTCCTTATAATAGGCTTTACGTCTTTTAGCGGTAGGGTAAGTGTGCCTAAGTTCGGCATGTCCCAGTAGTCGGCAGTTTTGAAATTTAAACTTAAATAACTAAAAATGGAATTGACCAAATAATGAAATAATTGCAAAAAAAAAAAAAAAAAAACGTCAACAATGTTCTCTGCTCTTTTTCTGTAAAAAGCTCCGATCATTTATTACGAGAGAATAACGGGTTTCGTCAGTGAGTGTCTTCCAACGCGTGCGATAGTGCTTGTAAATAACATTCTAAGATCATTTAATAACTTAAAAAACATACATAATCAAGCATTTTTCTCTTATATTATTTAATGCCGACATTAGGAACAGAAAAAAAGAGATTTGCCGGTAGTCGACAGGGGGTGCCGATTACTAGAAAAATATCATTTTTGACCTATTTCACCAAAACTTGAGAAAAGTATTAAAAAATAATCCAAAAACTACCCACATAAAAAAATTGTTTGAGTCGGCAGTTGATTTTATTTGTGCTTTTTAACCAACTTTTCTAAATTAAGTAGGTTTTTTAAATCAGCTATTTGATGTTTTAAGTAGCAGTGGCATTTTTGAAAAAAATGTTGGCTATCTAAAGGAAAAAGGCCAATTCACAAATTTCAAATATAAGAAAGGTACTTTTTTATTTAATCTCATAAATAATATTTTTTAATGAAATAGCATATGCCGACTACTGGCAAATAGACATGCCGAGCAATGGAAAATGGTGCCGACTACTGGCAAAAAACTACTATTTTGGTAAAATTGCAAATTTTGCCAATTTAATAAAAACAAATTCAATTGTTGTATATTATTTCGAAAACTAAACAAAATTTGGAATCTGAACAACTTTATTTTTCTGCAATTAAAAGATTTCACTCAGAATGTCGAAAGATTGAAATAATGAAAAGCCTAAAAGTGCCGACTACTGGTACACTTACCCTATCCTTTCGATCTTAACAAATTTTATGTTTTAATTTTTTTGCTGTAATATCGACCGCAGGCAATATTAGACAGTTCAAAACTTAAATGTCGGCTTACATACTGCTATGTTTTAGTCCGAATTTTCAGATCCTCTCTGATAAGTAGGTGATTTATCGTATCAAATTGCCTGGGATTTTGCATTTTTTGGCACATGAAAGACTAATAATATTTTAATCCCTATTTGCAGGACATTATGAAAACGGGTCCTCATCGCACTTGTATAAAGCCAAGCCCACCCTACAAATAGCGATACGAAATTGATTGGAAGTTCAAATGCAAAGAGTATTTCTTCATTAATTGACATTAATTTCTAACATTGGCTCGGTGTCTTGCATAAAATTATGCTCTTTACCATTTGAATTTCGGAAATGTTAATTATTTCATTCTAGACATGTTCGATGTTGATACGTATGACTGTAATTACAGGCAGACCGTTCGTGACAACGAGCATTCAGACGAACGCGATTAGAAAGTCACATGTCAGAGCAATGCGTCACATTTGTACCGATAAATTGACAAGTGGCAATGAACTCTACACTCTCGTTGTGTTAAAAGCGCTCTGGAAAAGTGTGAAGAGCAGCACAAAGACAACAACAACAACAACAACAGCGACAAGCAGACAAGGCCTGTTCGAATCGAATCTATCTATGGCAGTTTGTCTGTATGAACATACAGATGTAAGTGGCTATGTACATACGTACCTATGTACGTTTTCAGCTCGGCTGAAGTGAACGTAGCCGCCCATCATAATCAAGCAAAACAAAACGACATCGAATGTGATCCCTTGGTCTGTCAATGGTTTTTCAATTCATCGACACAGAGTTCTAGAAGTAAATATATATTCAAACGTACATAGTATATATGTATGTACATATGTATGCACAAACACAATCAGTCTTGACGTGAAAGCTTTGTTTGCAGACAACCACATTTGTGTAGGAGCGATCTCAATTTTTTTAATCAAACTTCAATGGCAACTAAGTAAAGTGAAAATAGTTCTTACCTAAAGGTTCAAAAGGTCACTGACACTAATCGAATAGAAATTGAGAAAAGTGATCGCAGCCTTTATTAAATTTAAAATCAATTTTATTAGATCACAAATCCGAAGATCGGTGTAATAGTTGGCAACATTTATGGATATTTATTTGAATATGTAATTTTGCAAATGCATAGTTCACGAATTTTTCACAATTCTTATGATGTCCCTGATGGCAGGATTGGGTGAATTAGGGAGTGCATAAATTTACAGAAATTCGAAAATTTCAAGAAATGTCCTGGTCGAACTTGAATGGGTTCATGGGCTATTTTCCTAATATGATTTTTTAGGGTTGTTGTCGTTCCTTTTGTATCAATAAACTGTTCCTTTTCCATTTCCGTTCCTTCTCGTTTTCTTTATTTCAATCATTTTTAGAAAAAATATTAATATCAAAATTATATAAGAAATGTAGGGTTAGGGTTAAATGTAGTACAAAGAGTTGAGTTTGGAAATTCGTTAAGCAAGCGCACGAAAGGTACTAAATGGTACTAAATTTTATATTTATTCTGCTTAGGATCAATGGATTGAGATTTGGAGGTGGTTTTGGAAATGCGTATTGAAATCCTTTTCAGCTCTATACCTTCCCCAAATTTGAGCCTTTTAATTTGGGGAAGGTATAGAGCTGAAAATCTGACATTAGATTTGAGAGTCTTTGATGTTGCGTAGGATAGACAAAGTAAAGGGTTTTACGAAATTTTACTAAAATACACTAAATTCGGTATCATTTGGAATTTGGGTAGTGGTAAAATCTTGAAATTCGGTATAAGCATCAATTCTTGGAAATGGATTTGATGTAAGGAGATGGTATTAGAACCGTATTAAATTGTACTAAATATGGTACCACTCCGTTTTGGGTGAACGGAAGAAGCTGTGTTGCAAATGTTGGTTGCTGGTGGGTAGGGTTAAAATAGAGTTGTGATTGGAAATTCATTCAGAAAGTGTACGAAAGGTGCTAAATGGTAATTTGGCATTAGGATCACTGTTAGTGTATAGAATTGAGATTTGGAATTGGTTTCGGATATACGTACTAAAAAGTACTTAATTTGGTATTTGGGGATATCAGGATCACCTGGAAATACGTACCAAAATATTACGAAAAATACTATATAGTATTAACTTTGGTGTTTGGGGAAGAAATAGAGCAGAAAATCTGGAATTTGGAACGATAGTCTTTGATGTTGCGTGGGATGGACAAACTAAAGGATTTTTCGAAATTCGGACAATAATTATGCCAAAAGTACTAAAATGCACTAAATTCGGTGAACAAATAGAGTTTGGGGGCAGGGGTTGATATAAGGACGTGGTTTTGGAAATGTGTCCTAAGTGTACGAACTATACTAATTGGTACTAAAATTGGTACAATTTGCAGTTCATGTGTAGCCTGGACAGGTGGAGGTGGTTTTAGAAATTGGTATTATAATTGTACTGTACGAAAAGTACTGAATGGTACTATATTTGGTATTGGGTGAAGGGATTTCTGTAATTTGATATTTTAATAACTGCTGGTATCTGAGGCTGAAATTTGGAAGTGGGTTTGAAAATGCGTACCATAGTAGTCCGAAAAGTACTAAAGTACTAAAAAAAGTACTAAATTTGGTATTGCGTGAAGAATTAAAGATGGAATTCTGAAATTTAACATTGCGATTACT